TTCGCCTGGAATGGTGTGGGAATGGAGATTTTGCAGTATCCTTTCCCTGGATTGGGGTGGGAATGGAGATTTTACAGTCTCCTTCGCCTGGAATGGTGTGGGAATGGAGATTTTGCAGTATCCTTTCCCTGGATTGGGGTGGGAATGGAGATTTTACAGTCTCCTTCCCCTGGAGTCAGAAGGGAATGTGGATTTTGCAGTCTCCTTCCCCTGGAGTGCGGAGGGAATGGAGATTTTGCAGTATCCTTTCCCTGGAGTAGGGTGGGAATGGGGATTTTGCAGTATCCTTCCCCTAAAGTTGGGAGGGAATGGAGATTTCGCAGTATCATTCCCCTGGAATGGAGTTGGAATGGAGATTTTACAGTCTCCTTCGCCTGGAATGGTGTGGGAATGGAGATTTTGCAGTATCCTTTCCCTGGAGTGGGATGAGAATGGAAATTTTGCAGTATCCTTCCCCTGGAGTCAGAAGGGAATGTGGATTTTGCAGTCTCCTTCCCCTGGAGTGCGGAGGGAATGGAGATTTTGCAGTATCCTTTCCCTGGAGTAGGGTGGGAATGGGGATTTTGCAGTATCCTTCCCCTAAAGTTGGGAGGGAATGGAGATTTCGCAGTATCATTCCCCTGTCATGCCCACCAAACCATGCCCGCCAGGCCACGCCCGCCATGCCCACAGAACCGGTAGTAAAAAAAATTGAATTTCGCCACTGGCCTATTTGCATTCAATGAGGTCAGGAGTGCAACCTATCAGGGCTTGGAGAAAGAGGTGAGACTCTCTGTTGAAATAGGGGTGGGGGAGAGAGGAGACAAGCTGTTCTTTCCTTCTTTTATCCTTAATCAAAATGTGCTAAGACTTCCTCTCCAAAGCTATCTCACCATTCCCTCTCCTGGACCTCCCGGCCCCTATGATGTGATGCCTTTGCATTTACTGGATGACAGTTACAGGCCATATTCTCATCCTACATGTTTACTTTAGTTTACTTTATTGTCATTGCATCTCCTACAATGAAAATAAATGTCATCTTCAGTGTACATCAAACATAAGAAAACCATAAAAGTAAAACAAAAACACATATCGTTCATATTCTATACCAGTGATGGTGAACCTTTTCAGTACTGAGTACCCAAACTAGAATGCACATCCATGTTTGTGCATATGTTCATGCTAGAATGCCAGAAACTCAAAGACCAGCTGACCACTGCACACATGCCTGTTTTCTGGCCTTTTCTGGCCATTTTCTGGCCGTTTTTCAGGCCAAATGGCCCAGAAAACAGCCTGAAAAACAGCTTGAAAACGGCCCAAAAGTGATTCGTTTTTGGCTGTTTTCCAGCACTCCAGCACTTGTGCATACCAGCTGGCCAGAAACCAGAAGAGAAGCTGGTGACAGTGCACATTCCCACAGAGAGGGCTCTGTGTGTCACATCTGGCACGCGTGCCATACATTTGCCATCATGGTTCTACACAATTGAATTGAAAATCCCTGATACTACATTAATATTACCCTATAGAGTAAAATTCAATATAGTCAACAGTGATTCTCAGTTCTCCGGGTCATGGTTTTGTCCCAAAGGTGCTTTTTTTCCCCAAGAGGCAACTGGACTTTCTGTTTTTTCTTTGAAGAGGTTTTACTTCTCATCCAAGAAGATGCTTCAGCGAAGCGAAAGATCTTTGAAGAAAAAACAGAAAGTGCAGTTGCCTCTTGGGAAGAAAGCACCTTTGGGACATTCTCATCCTACAGTCCCCACAGAAATGCAAATATCCTAACGTTGATCAATTTCACATATGTACTCCTCATACTTCTTTGATGGGTTTTTCCCTGTGCCTAGTGGATGACTAATAAAGGCCAATTCACCAGTTGTCTTTTCTTCATTAGATGAGTTTGGGACAATATCTCTATATGTACAGTATAAACCACATTAAGTATGCAAACAAACACAATTCCCTCAAGAGATCCTTGATCTTCAGGAAGAGATCATACTGGAAAATGCGAAGTTTCAAAGGACTGTTCAGAGTATTAATTTCCTATTAAATTATTTTCACATTTTACAATTGAAAAAGATCAAATGAATGATAACAAACCCAGTGAAGAGCCTGAGGCTTAGCAGTGATGCTTCGGCCTTTTAGGATTAACAGTCAACATGAAAGACCCCAATAATCAAGGACCTCCTTGGCTGCTTATCTAAAGGATGGAAACAGGGTCACCTCCCATCAATCCATGAGTACATCTCACTGTTGGGGGATTATAAGCAACTAGAAAATCTTCAAGGATCTCTCTCCCCTCCCCCTTGCTAAATTTGTTTTCTCCATTACACAGTTAGAAATCAATGGAGCAAATGTTTGTTACCTGCCCTATTAATGCATCCTTTACCCCTTTAGGGGTAACTTAGGTGTGGAACAGAAGAAAGAAGAAAGGGTTCTTGAAAGCGACGCCAATAAAGATGCTCTTCCAGTACAGCCATTTAAATTTTCATCCTAGTATCATTGCTTTAAAAATGAGCAGTGCAATGGCCTAGAGGTGAAGACACTCACCTCCCACTCAGAAGGTTGTGAGTTCAATCCTAGGCAACAACAGATATTTCTCTATCAGAGTGCAAAGAGAAAATATCTCCTGCAAACCCTGCATAAGCATCAGGAAGGGCATCTGGCCAGTAAATGCTCAATTCCATTCAGGCACCCCGACTCCATCCTGAATCAAGGGTTTGCAGGGTTGTAAAATAATAATAATAAAACCAACCAGCCCCAAAGGCTGTGAATCTCACCAAAGATTAGCCACGCAATAATAATAATATGTGGAAAAAGAAACCGAGTGTTGTCCTGATTGTAATTGGAGCCCTTGGAGCAATACCCAAAGGGCTACCTCGCTATTTGGAAATTTTAAATTTATCAGACTTGAACATTCTGATTCTACAAAAAAACCACCCTACTTGGAACAGCTTATATCCTTCGACATTACCTTAACAGTTCCTAGGCCCTTGGTGAGGACTTGAGCTGTTGAGCTACCAACCAGCCCCAAAGGCTGTGAATCTCACCAAAGATTAACCACATAATAATAGTAACAACAACAACAACAACAACAACAACAACAATAATAGCTGCTCTAAAAATCTAGAAGCCTCTTCTGGGATCAGGCCAATATTAGCAACGCCCCACTGAGAAAGGTGATTACATCCCTTGGCTTGCAAACAGCGAATTTGATACACCTTGCAAGCATCTTATGGAGCAGTGTCCCTGTGGTGCCTATCAAGTTGAGGAGATTATGCTCTGCGTCCTCCACTGCTTCATTTACGATTAGGTCAAGGCCAGGTGAATGATGTAGAGGGAACTCAATGGCTCCGAGCACGAATGGGTGAAGGATCTTCTTGCAGATTTCCAACATTTCGTGGTTAGGTTCCTGCAACCTATTTTAGCCCTTTGATTATATCTAGCATTTTTTTCTCATTTGCTTTTCCTGTATCATTCTTTTCTTTTATTGCATTTTTTGCTATGTTACATTTTTATGACCTATGTGCTCAGATATTGTCTTCATTATTGATTGGGTACTTTAAGTTTGCACAATTGTTGGCCATCTCAGTTGCATTTTCCATCGCAGTAGATTTATGAGCGTCCCTGACAGACAGTGGCTTCCTCGGGGCCATGAGATGCACCCATGCTGGCAGCAATCGCCTGGATCCCAAGTCCCACCTCCGAGTTTGAGTCAAGCCAGGAGCCCCCACTCAACCTGATCTTCCCTCCCCTAACCTGGGAATCCTGCCTTGTGGAGTTGGTTAATTATGAACCGAGAGGAGATAATTGCCTTGGCCCTTTTCTAGCAAACAATGAGCACATCCACAAGGGGAGGCTTTGTCCAGCAACGTGAGCTGGGAAGCGTCTCCAGCTGGGGCTGCCCAATGACCAGCAGAGCACAGACCAGGAATTGTCTTTGGAGGCAGACTGAGCCTTCCGAAGGAAGGGAGAGTGCGTGCAAAGTCCTCGGTGGGCACACTCAGGAACTAATTGGTAGTTGCAAGCAATTAAAGTAATTTACTCGGATTACAAAGAAATGCCTTAGCAGTGATTAAGAAACCCTGGGATGTGGGCAGGGGCTTGTAATCATTACCTTGGGAGATTACAGCTGCTGATGTTAGGTAACTGACCTTGTCGCTCTCAATAGGCTCATTGCAGTTTTGCTAAGAAAATGTAAATCGGGTTTGCAGGATAATCGCACAAAAGGCAGGCGGTCCCTCTCGGTAAATGAGGCTGCATGGGAATGAAAGTGCCGGAGCCTCTGCACCAACGAAGAGAATAGCCAGCTTCCAAGATATGTGTGAATGGTAGGTGTAAAAAAGGTATTTGAATCAGCCCAGAATTATCTCTGTTTGTTTTTCTTTAACTCCAATGCTATAACTGCTTTCTGAAAGGCAGACTTGATGAGACCCTCACACCCTCCATCTGCCCCATGATTAAACATGTGCGGTTGCTATGTGACAGAGTCAATATGACATTTGGGTCTCAAATCACAGAAGCCAGACTTTTGCGTAGTATGTTCCCTATTTCTGAAACGATCGTGTTATGCTGTTGTTCAGGGTCTCAGCTCCCAAATTGGACTGGGACTCTTTCGCTGAAGTGCTTGAATGAAGGTTTTGCAAAAGTCCGTGTCTTGTGTCTGGCTCTGACTGGTTTCTGTGCCAAGCTGAGCCAATTTTGGGGCACCAAATTGGAAAAACTAGGACATCTCATTCTTTTGCCATTTCAATGGAAGCATCAACTACATAATACCCCATTCTAGGCACACAGAAGCCCAGACAAAAACACACCAGTGGTGGGTTCCTACTGGTTCAGACCGGTTCAGCAGAACCGGTAGTTGTTTGGCGGGCTGGGTCGCTGAAACTGGCAGAGACCCAGGCCTACCACGACCCTGAACCGGTTCTCCCGGTGGCGCCATAGGCACCACCATCTTGTTTTTTGCTTCTATGCATGCACAGAGCAATTTTTATTGCAGTGCACATGCGCACGCAGTGCGTATCAAGTGTGTGGCATGCCCACGAATGAACCAGCAGTAGTCCCTGCTGGAACTCACCCCTATACCATACACTTGGGAAAGACTAAGGAGCCAAGGTGAGAAGCCTTGTTTTAGCATGGCTCCAGACATCTGAGCCTTTACTCCTTTAGATCCTCCAGTGCTTCAGAAGCAAATGTTCTTGGGCCAGGAAGGCCTCCAGCTCTTCCGGTGCCTTCTTGGGGGCCCATTATGCTCTGGGGAAAGCTGGCCTCTGTCTTCAGTGTGACTGACTCTTACAATGGAAAAGCTGACTTGATGTTTTCTACCCTTGGTAAATCCCATAATTATCAATTCGTCAAAAGATTTAGAGAAGCCACACTGTGTGAAATGGCCAGCTGTGTTCAGCTCTGAGCCAAGAGCAGACGTGCAGACGTACTTTGTGCAGTTGGTGCTAGAAATGGGATGCAAATCTTCCCAAGTATACATTTAAAACTTAATGGAAGAAGCTGATCATGGGGGCGAAGGAATCACAAATTCAAACTTCTGACACAGCATTTGTTTTGGTCCAGGGACTTCCAGAGACAAGAATCAGAAGCACGGACCAAGAACAACATAATTATTCCAGTTAAGTTGGTGGAGGGAACAGGCACTTCCGAGCTGCCCTCCTTGTCAATTTCAGAGTGTGTTTGTTTGCTGTGTGGGGGTTTGAGGGATGTTGGCGTGGCATTTGATTTGCCCGAAGGGGGGCTGGATGGCTGGACCAGACTGCTCAGCACAAGTGGGATGTTTTGTGGCGTTTACCATACCTACCTCGGTGACGGTGTTTGCCATTCTTATGAACTGGGTGGCCTCTTTAATTTGGCATTCTTGGACTGCCTTGGCTGCTGAGGTTTTTCAGTCCAGCTGCTTTGAGAGCCACTCGAGTTGCTTCCTGGAAGAGGAGGCTGAGGAGCAGGTCAGAAGCTGACCACATCTACTGCACGGACTATCTTTGGCTGCTTGGGTGAACTGGGCAGCTTTTTCAAACTTGGTGGGAGAGAGCAAAAGGAGGGACTATGATGGAAGACTCCATGTTTTTCCCCTTGCCATTTTGATTGTATTTTAGGAGCTCAATTGTGCGTCTTTGTTTCTCATTGTCTGCTTGTGGCTGGATGCTGGGGTGTTGTCCGTTTGAGCAGTGGCTGGGTGGTGTGTGTGTGTTTGTGTGTGTGTGTGTTGTGTGTTGTGTGTATTACAATAGAGTGTGGCTGCCCCACCGTAGAGGCCTCTTTGCCTTCTCCTCTATAACACCAAGGAGGAAGAAAGCACTGCTTGAGAGTGCTTGAGAGCTGTGGATGGTCTCCTTCCTTCCTTCCTTCCTTCCTTCCTTCCTTCCTTCCTTCCTTCCTTCCTTCCTTCCTTCCTTCCTTCCTTCCTT